CTAAAACTGCAGATGGAATGTATGCATTCAGATGTGTATAGTCCATCTTGGATAGGACAAAATAAACAAAGTTGTAGAAACTTAATTTGAAGCACTAAAAGATGACTTTCAAGTTTATATATGTTGTGTTATGGGTGAGTTAGGCTGAAAAAATACATTGGCTGGTGCATCCTCTGTTACAGCTGCTAGATTATTTTCTAGATTATTCTCTTTTTTTAGAATTATTTTTTGATTTTTTTTTTTAACTAGAGGGAAGGAAAAGAGTAAAAAAAAATCTTTGGGAATCTGGGGCTTGGGTCTATTAATGTGATTTCCTTGTTAGAGCCAGAGAGGAATGTCTGTGTGTCACCTAACAGCCCAGTTTGGGGTAGAAGTTGAAAGGAGCATGACTGCTGCTACTACACTGGGTCTGCTTTTCACAGAGTTTTCCTGGAGCTTTAAACATTTTCTTGCTTTCAAGAGGTTGCCAGATGCAATTGTATGTTATAATTGGAGGGAAATGTAAGCTTGCCCAATTACTTGGAGCTGGTCAGAGACAAGTGGGCAGGTGCTGTCCTTTCCCTGAGGCAGCAGGCAGGTTTCTGGAACGTACCAAGAGAGGCTTGGCCCCAGGGCACCTGGAGGACTGTGGGATGTGGAGGAAGGAGAATTCTTGTCCATTCAGCTCGGCTTTACATGTGATTCTTCTTGCCAGCCTCGGCAGGTTGGGGTGGTGACAGATGTGCAGTGGAGTGACCGGCCACTCGGTGGAGTCAGGAGACCTCGGAATGCCAGGGGGACACGCTGGCCTTGGCATCTGCAGCCCTGCTGCTGTCCCTGGGAACGCCGGGGAATATTCCTTTGATCCTGTGAATTCCCAGTGGAATCGGCTTTATGGGAACCTCGACACGGGACTGTTGATTTTAGCTGTAACTTCGGGAGAACAGGTAGTTTGGTCTTTGTGCGGTATGTGTGCTGTAAGAGGAAACAAGTAAGGCATTAATGGGTTTGCATTTAGTGCAGTTACTCTCTAGCTGGGCTCCTCTGACAGAGTTTTGCTCATGCCTAATTCATAATCTGGTAAGAATGCTGTTGAAATCACGCAAGAGCATTCATATTGTGTAAAATTAAACCAGTAAAACTTTTACAAGGTGAGGTCCTATAGCATCAAGAAAATTTCAAAGGAAGATCCTTGTTTATACAAACATTTCTCCAAAATTTTTAAGTTTCATTCTTGCTGCTTAACTTTTTATAATAAAAAAAAATAGATTTGAGGAAAGGCAGTAAAAAAAATCAAGTATCTTGCTTCTGTTCCAAACTTAATTAAGCTAGTTTGAGAAAACTCCATTACCTCTTAAGTATTTTTAAGTTCTCAGGGGCAAGAGTATTAATAAGCTGATTATTTCTGCCTGTTACCTGTTGTTTGTGACATTTAAAGAGAATGTCCAATTGATAAAGTACATATATTATCTGCGGTTAACCAGAGCAGTTAATGGGAAACAGTAAGACTATGAGAAGCCAAATATTCAAGGAGGGATATATTGTGTGTACTATAAAGAGAAATTGCACTGTGAAGCTGTTGTTAGGGGCTGGTCTCTGGATGTGGGTGGAACACAAGCAGAATTGTAGATAGGGCCATCAGCCCTGGGGAGTGCCCTCCTTAGACAGTGTTTCTGACACCAGATTACAATTTGCTATGTGAGTGGAACTGACATTGATGGAAAAGCAGCTGATTGTAAAGAAATCCTGCAAATGACAGCCATGGCCTGTGGTATGCAATGAAATATTTCCTCTTGAGCTATTTGTTCTTAGCATGCAAATATGGTAGCACCACCACTAGACATATTTCAAGTTCTAGAAGGAAACTAGAGTGGCAGTATGTAAAATATTTATTTCACATAGTTCATGAGTCAAATGGAGAAGTTGCCAATTATCTCTGATTAAACAGTTAGATATACCAATAGGGAAAATAGCCCACTGGTGCATGTCCTACCTAGAAATGGAGAAGCAGGGATGAGCAAGGAGCAATGCCAGCTCCACCACTGGAAATAAAAAACAACCTCCTGGATTCAGCCCTAAAAACTCCACCTTGGCAGACCAAGTGGGTGGCAAGTGTTTGGTTCACTGTCCTGATTTCAGTCCCCATGGGACACCCCCAGTTTTAAGATCACAGACCCTTACTGACAGCATCTCTCATCCCAATTCTCCCGTGTTCAGTGCTATCAAATCATCTCCCAGCTGTCAGATATTTGCTCCACATATTCAGCTGTCTGCAATGACAGCTTCTACAACCTTTCCAACTCTCTTATCAGCTTCATTCCAGTGTTTGCTGTCACTCAGGCTGTCTGTGGCAGTCCCTGGACTTCAGCACTAATTCCCCAAACCACAGTGTCTAAACCCAAATCTTCGTCCCCTGAATCCACCCATTCCAAGTTAGTGCAAGATTGACCCAGATTTTAATGATGACAGTTTTGACTGTTGCCCCTTACTTGGGTATCTAGACCAAGTTCCTTCATCTTCCAGCAGAAGGTAAAGGAGAGTCAGTGGAAATTATCTGGATTTCATGAAACTGAGCACAACCCCTCTGAGGCGTGGGAACTCTTCCTCTGGTCACGACAGACAGGAATATTCCTTTTTTAAAATGTTTTCCTACCACAATATCTATTGTGACTCCACTTCCCAGTCTGGGCACAGCTGCCCACCTGCACACAGGGAGGGGAGTCAGAGCAAGGAGTCACTGAGACAATCAGCAAATGAGGTGGGACAGTGACACTGATGTGCTCTGAGCCTTTGAAGGGGTTGAACTGACTTCAGAGCAGTTAGACTAACAGGAGCTGATTCCTGGTGTCTTCCCACAACTCCAAGGGCTACCAGCTCACAGATTTTTGAATAGGTGTCCCCAAGGTGTGCTGAGCTCAATCCCCATAAAACCTGAAGGGTTCAAGGGTCTCAAGATAAAAGCTAAACATCCTGCACTAACTAGACAGCTTCAGAGAAGATTGCTGATCAAATATTCTGCTTCCCTTTTTCCTTTCACATCTTCTCATACCTCTTCAGAAATTCTTTGCTTCCCAAGGTTCATATCTGATCTCTGCACTTTGATTTTTTTTTCCCCCCAGACTGAAAAGACCATTTAGTACATCAGTGAGGGAAAGGAGAACTCTTCTGTGATTTTTTTTTTTTTTTTTTGTAAAAAATAAAGGAAGATCAAAGTGGCAGAGGCTCTGGAACCAGCTGCTTATCTCTCTGAGGGTGGATATGTGGGGAATTGTATTGCTGCCACTGTGTTGTTGATTGACAACTGATTTGTAGGCTACAGGGCTACCAAGCCAGCTTCTTTCCAAACCTTGAATTTGCACATAAAAGTGATGAGAGACTCATGCTCAAAGAAATAAAACTTCCTGAGAACACACTGGTTTCTGCAAAAGAGATAAATTTGAGCAGATTGCTCTAATCATGGACTTTTCAGGGTTGTTAAGGGCCATATGGACCTCTCCTACTGCAAGAAGCAAATGAATGGATACTGTCTCAATTCAAAACCTGCTGCACTTACATGGTCATTTTAGTTGGACAGCTTTATCAATCACCAACAGGACATCACTCAGTGATTGATGGTCACCTGCACTCAGCATCTACAGCAGGAAAGGAGGCACTGAGTACCTGAGCCTGATCTCCTGAGCTCCTTCCTCCCCAGGAGCTGGACTCATCATGCCTGGTCTGAGTGCAGAAACCAGAACCATCCCCGGTCTCCCCTCTGGCAGCTCACAGCTGTGGGCTTCAAAGGCAGCCCAAAACACTCCTGAGAGAAAGAAAGGAGGCAGAGCAGAGAGGTCAAATTAAAACCCAGCCATGGAGCACAGCAGTTGCAGGCGGCTTTAATGAGGAATCCTGCAAAGACAGGGACCTCCTTTCGTTCCCGCTCTGTCTGATTAAAGCGGGGGTGGGCAGTGGCAGTGCCCAGCCAAGCGGGGATCCCTCCCCGGCTCTGCCTGCTCGCTTGAGCGCAGCGGAACGCGGGGAGCGGTGCTTGTCCTGCCTTGCCTTAATTGTCCCTTTACTCTCTACACTCGGCTTTCCCCCTCTACCCTGGAACTATTCAGACCAGGCTTTTTCTAAGAAAATAAATATTGCAGTGTGACTGATGTTTTATTTGGGGTGTCGGACTGAGGTACGGAGCAGTGAAGGGGCTGCAAACGGGTCCGTGCGCTGCCGCAGAGCCCGGGGGATGCCAGGCCAGCTGCGTCCCGGGCTGCTGCTGTCCTCCTGTGCACCCTGCCTCGCTCGCTGCCCGTTCCCCGCAGCTTCCCTGCCATCGCTGCTGTTCCCGTCCCGCTGTCCCCCTGGTCCCGCTGTCCCCTCTTTCTCTGTCACCCCGGTCCCGCTGTCCCCAGTCTCCCTATCCACGGTCCCCTATCCCCGGTCCCGCTGTCCCCCCGCTCTCCGTGTCCCCGGTCCCGCTGTCCCCCCGCTCTCCGTGTCCCCAGTCCCCCTGTCCCCGGTCCCGCTGTCCCCCCTTTCTCTGTCCCCCGGTCCCGCTGTCCCCCCTTTCTCTGTCCCCCGGTCCCGCTGTCCCCCCGCTCTCCGTGTCCCCAGTCCCCCTGTTCCCGGTCCCGCTGTCCCCCCTTTCTCTGTCCCCCGGTCCCGCTGTCCCCCCGCTCTCCGTGTCCCCGGTCCCCCTGTCCCCGGTCCCGCTGTTCCCCCGTCTCTGTGTCCCCGTCCCGCCCGGCCCTGCCGGGGCCTCCCTGCTGCCCGCGGCGCCCCCTGGCGGCGGCCGCGCCTCCCTCAGCGCCATCCTCCAGCTCTGCCCTATTGTTCTCCCGTCCGTCGCTCGCTCCCTCCCTCCGCCGGGGCTCGCGTCCTCCCTCCGCTCTCCTCCATCCCTCCCTCCATCCCTTCCTCCTCCTTCTCGCCGTCGCTCCCGCCCCGCTCCCCGGAGCTGATGTCACGCACCCGCTGAAGGCGCGGGCGATCATGGCTGCTGCGGCCGCGGCCGTGCCGCCGGCCTCCAGCTAATTCCCGCGATGGAGCCGGCCAGCCTGCTGCGGTTCCTGCGGAAGCTCAAGGAGGTTTTCGATGTGTGCGATGAGGATGCGGACGGGTTCATCCGAGTGGAGCACTTCGTGGCCCTGGGGCTGCAGTTCGGCCAGGGGGATGAGGTGAGTGCGGCGACTCCCGGCCCCCGCGCAACTTTCACCTGCTGTGTGTGGCCAGACCCCGCCCGGGCCGCCCGTCACCCGCCTGTCCTCACCGCGCTCCCCGTCCCTTCGGGAGCCCCAGGTTCGTGCCGCGGGGCAGCCCGGTCCCGCTCCTTTCGGGGTGGCTCGGGCTCCCTCCGTTCCTCGGGGGTGCCAGAGCCCTCCCCTTGGCGGCCTGGAGCCCCCCGCCCTCAGGGCCATCAGCCGCCTTCCCCCTTTCCCGTGGAGCCCTCCCCAAAACCAGCCCGGCTCCCTCTTTCCCCAGGAGCATCCCCCATCCCTCGGGGCAGCCTTAGACCCCTCGGGTACCGGGGCCGGTCGCGGCTCCTTTCGAGGGCTGTTTTTATTCCGGGTTTTGTCCGTCCTGGTTGAGCTGAGCTCGGTGGGGCACTGGGAGCGGAGCCGGTGCGGTGCCGGCAGTGTCTGGGTAGTCAGGGAAGCACCTGTGCAGGAACCGCAAACCGCCCGGGCATGGGCTGGGAGCGAGGGCTCCGTTCATCCCTGCCTCCCCCAGCCCTTCGGTGACACTGCGTAAATCTGGAGTCGCGCCACCGGTCTCGGCAGAGCGTTGCGTCAGTGGGACCGGTGTAAATCGTGACATCAGTGGAGATGGGAGTGGGATTCGGGCCAGAGGCAGTGAGGGCAACGCCATGCGCTGGTTTGAGACAGTTCCCTTCAGTGATTCAATCAAGGGCTGCAGCTCCAGCGAAATGAACCAGCAAGAAATGCTTTCCTAGGAGAGCTCTTGGGATGTTACACTTTACTGTTCAATTCCATCCTCTTGGGATGTTACACTTTACTGTTCAATTCCATCCTCTTGGGATGTTACACTTTACTGTTCAATGCTTCGCGGTGCACCCCAGCAACTTGGGGTGCCCGGGAGGAGGAGTGAAGTTGGGAATATGATGAGGTTCAGAAAACCAGTGTCAAACAACCTTTTAGAGTACAATAAAACAAATTAATGTGAGGAGCTAATAAAACAGCGATTTATAGAGGCATGCCAAAGAGGAAGCAAAGCCAGAGTAAATTCAAGTAATTGTTGGAGCAAATCTCTTATTTCTAGCTTGCCACTCATAATGAAACACAGCTTGTGAATTAAATCAGGAAATCAGGAGACAGAAGGCTTATTACTTACAGATAGTCACAGGTCTTAAACATTTTCTTAATGAGAAGCTGCAGTTTGTGGTTTTAACTAGCAAAATAAGGAGAAATGAGTAATTGTAACAAGTTTTATTCATTTTGGATTTATTTGTCTCTTGTATAATTTTATATAAACTAATAGAAGTATTTTAAAGTCCTTATTGCCAGATAAACTGCATCCAAATTGCTTTTTGCACTGCTGTGTTTATTTGGAGGCAGATCAGGGGCTTTCTTGTGCAGCACTGAGGAAGGCTGATAAAATTCCACTTGCTGTTCTGCAGCAGGATGACACTGATGGTCATAACAATTCTTTTTGGTTTTAGAAATCTTTCAGGTTGTGAGAGTGGAGTGGGTTCTGTAAGATGTGACAGGGGGTTCAGGTGATGATCTCATAAGCTTAGAGTGAATTGGAATATATTAGTAGAAAAATATTTAAATGGAGAGAGAGAGAAAACTGGAAATCCCAGTAAAGACAGGGCGAGGAAAGTACCAGTTGTCAGTGATAGTTTCAGGATGGGCTGCCTTGCTGGCCAGGCACAGGAGAAAGTGCCAGTGCTGAGAAATGCTTGCTTTGTATTTCTTTCAGTTGTAACTGGCAGTGTTTGATAAGATATTTGTAAAACTGGGACAGAGAAATCTTATCTACATATCATACTTCTTTATTTATCAGTGTTATAATAAACTTGTTCTGGTTTACATCCCTGTGCTGGGTGTAGTTGGTGTTGGAAGTGCCTTGACTTCAAAGGAGCAGCTGAGTAAATGGGATTTGTAAATCACCCAAAGAGGTTTGCTAGTGAAATACAGAATCAATTTTCCAAGTGCAGATTTACTCCAGAGCAACCAGTGGAGGTGAAGGACTGTAGTTTAAAGGCTTGTTGAAGGTGAACTTTTTGTGTGATGAATCACAGTTGATGTTTGGAGATGGTGAGTATCCTCTCTCCCAAGGAACACAGTGCTTTCTACCTTGCATCTGCAGGAACATCACATGTTCTGTGTGGAAATGCATCTCATTAAATTAAACTGAGGAGACTTAGGGAGCAGTTCTCTTTAACACATTAGAACATATTTACTGTCAATGTATTTTTGATTATGCTAAACTTCTTGGGCCTCATCCATCTGGGCTCCCTTTACATTCAAAAGAAATCTTTCCATGAGCATCAGTGAAAGATTGATTTGCCCTCATGTGCAATGAAATATAAACAGCATATTATTCTATTTATAAAGTTCATCTGGCCACAAGAAGGGTCCTATTTTGTAGCACTGTGTACTGAGTAATTCTGATACTTACCAACAGTAGCCTGGGGTCATGTTTATGAAATGAGAGAGTATCTATGAAGACCACACAGATATCCATCTCTTCTCTACCTCCTCAGAGCCACCATTATCCAAAGTTTGCAGTCTACAAATTCTTAATACTAACTTTAGTAGGGTTTGTTGGGCATTTAGCCTTTTGTGGTTTTTTTCTTCTTCTTTCTGTTTTCTTTTCCTTTCTTGTGTGTGGTGTGTAGTCAACATGCTGAATTTTATTATTCCTGAAAGATAACAACTCTCTGAAAACTGCCCCAAGGCAAAATCGTTGCAGCAAGGCAGCAGCTTTCCCTTCAAGCAAAGCACTCCTTACCTGCACAGTCAAAATAATAAACTGTACTGTTTCTGGTTAACTTTTTCTATTTTATTTTAATAGGCTTTTGAAATCTCTGCTTCTAATAGGTTCTAGCAAGTTTGCTTGCAAGCTTTTACTTTGCCCTGCAAAGCGTGTGGTTCAACTAGAGGAAAAAAGGATTTGGTTGCATTGATTTGGCAGAGCCAGGAACAGAACCAGGTGTCCAAATTCCTGAATTTACAGCAGACCTGACTGGCTGTCAAGCACTGCTTGCATATACACACAGTTGTGGAACTCGCACCTTTAGGCAGTTGAGCATTCTGGCCTCTGCTCATCCCATCTGACTGTGGGCATTTATTTAACTGAGTCTCCATCAATCTTTCTCCATGGACATTGATGAGCAGTTGAACGCTCAGAGGCTGTAACAGGACCAAAGGATGAAATAAATCCCTCAGAGATGCTTCTTTGTCTCCAGGACAACAGAAATTCCTAGCTGAGACTTTTGGTTCTGTGCTTGGGTCTGACTTTCCTCGTGAATGGGGCGTTTGCCGTTTGTGTAGAAATCTGAAGAAAGGCACCAAGGGCTGTTTCCAAAGCTACTTGACTGGATGGCATGTGCTCACTAGCTAAAGAAACACTTCACATAACACTGAGAAATGCCAAGAGTCGCTCACCATCTGGTTCCCTTTCACTGGAAAAGAGTTGCAGTACAGCCAAGTGTCTGGGAGCATTGTGAGTGACACGTTCAGCAAGCCCCAGTTCTGGCAGAGGATTGTGTGAATGTGTATTTCAGGGTAGTGCCAGTTGATGTTTCATTATGCCAGATTCTCCTTAAACTCCACACTCAGTTTTCAGCAACAAGTGAAGTAAGCTGAGCGTGTTGACAACTTTTTTCTGAGGCAGGTAAACGCCTTTTGGAGGTGCAAACCATGCAGGTGCTCACACAGTCATCTTTGTCATGGTGAGATCTGCTCATCGACTTGAGCAGTGTCACAATTGAAAGGGAGCTTCAGCAGCTAATAAAATGTATAGGCCAATATCAATTACTCACATGAGTGGACAGTAACTCACTTAGACAATGGTTTACTAGTGGTGTAGAACAGAAATAGCTAAAAATGAGTTCACATATTTCTCATGAAGAGATGAAAATTTCTGGTAAAAAAAAAACTGCTATAGGAAAATGTTTGTTGCTAATTTCAGTCATCAGCCCCAGTCAGGGCTGAAATTAAAGGCATCAGCCTCAAGTGCTGCCCCAGCAGTGGATTGTGGCTGTGGCTGAGTTTAATGGCACTCCTGGATCTTCCTTTTGACTTGCTTTCAGATGTGTCCCAGGAGCTGAGGCTGTGGTACTCCAAACAGCCCTTCTGCTCTCACTCCAGAAGTAGCTTCTCCTGTAATTCAGGACTGTGATTTCACTGCCTGACAATCTAGACTCTTTCTGAGCAGTCTGGGTGAATTTCAGGCTCCTGGCTGTAGTGTTGCAGCTCAGAGTTGCACCCAGAAATTAAAGGAACCAAAATTCCTGTCAGTGTGCACCATGACAGAATAGCTCATATCTTCTTGGTAATATGAGTCTGCAGACATGAGAAAAGGAGAAAAAAGAGACTTTGGCAGTGAAACATGGAAACAAAAGGGTGTTATCAAGGGATACTGCCATTCTTATAAGGGCATACTTTTTCTTTGCTTTTCCTGGAAATAATTATTGAAAGAAAAAATAAAATATTTGCCTAGACAGTATCAAGGATACAAAGAGCAGTCCCATGTGACAGTGTTTTCTAGGCAGCAGAAAGGCTGCTATGCATTCAGATTCCTTAAAACTCTATTTGCTAATGATCCAGATATTTAATGTAATTCACAATGGAAAAAATAGAGTTCTGAAGTGAAACAGTGGGCTACTCAGTTTATGGGTTAGTAAAGGTACAGCACTATAGCCTCCCTAATTCAATATGAACTAGCAGTGAATATGTTTAAAATAGCCTTTTGAAAAATGCTGAAACTAAGCATGTATTTCTGAAGAGCTGACATAAAGCAAGCTTGGTATTTAGTGTTAATGAAACGTTTGCCAAAGCACTGTGGTGCAGAGAGGAGCTGTGGGTTTGCTGTGCACTCATGAGTTTAATTCGTTATGTAATGTTTGCATTTCAAAGGTGAGAGCTCTGAGGGGTAAGAACTGATGCATAGCTAAGAATTGATTATTGCTGTGTTTTGCAATACAAGTCAGTGATCTGAAACAGTAAATTCTTAATGCCTGAAGGAAAGGCAATCAATTTTGATAGCAATTCTTGATATTTAAATGACTGTATTTTATCACTACCACAGTGTTTGCATTTAGCACAGGT